CTTTCTTTGCATTTGGAAGTGGTTGAAGTGCCTTGGGGTTATACTGGGGTGCATGGTGGTGTTGGGGAGAGGTAGTTTTTTTTATGTTTATTGTGGAGAATTTGGAGAGGCAATTGAACTATTCAAGATAACGGAAGCAAATAGAAAGCAGAATACAATTTTTAGAAGAATTTATTTTTACTAAAATGGAAAATAAATCTGTCTCCATTGTTCAAGCTGAGAGTATACTGGCTTGAAATTCCCAGGCAAAAAATAAATAAATAAAGGATTGTTGATAACCCAGACTCAAATATTATTGGCTTCCAGAAGGAGCAATTATTTAGGAAGAACAGCTGAGAGGCATGCAGGAATAGCAATAAGAGTGCATACTGCTTTTCTATTGAGGGGAGAGTGAAGTCCTTGTAATGAGGAACAGATCTTTAAGAACCAGTAACTCTCCTCTTGGTTCTTTTATCCTTTGCTTTCAAAGTCACTGCTCCTTGTGTGCTCTGCTATAAATCCAAAGTGTATTGTTGCCAGAGATGCTGGCTCTGGGAGCAAATTAGAGTTGACCACCAAGCCAAGTGTTTACTGTGTGTCCTTGCCCAAGGAAACAAATGATTTGTGTTTTCTCCTACCAGGGTTTGTACTCTCCAGTGTAATGACCTCTCCAACCACATAGCTCTCTCCTAAACATCAGGACGCTGATCCTCACTTTCAATTCTGGCGATGTTAATTCTCAATTAAAACTTTAATGCTACGTATTGATTTGCAATCTTCTGGGCACAGTAAAGCAAAAGTAAACTGGATTTCCTCCAGGGTTGCTAGGTGTGTGTGCACTTTTTAATCCATGGAAATTTTTGAATATCCAACCATTTCCTTTTCCTCTCAGTAAGAGTGCGTAGTGCCAAGGCATGTTCTCCGTGGAACAATTACTACATAACAAGAGTCTACATGAGCAAAGACATGGTGAACAGTGTCCCATAGAATTAACAGTATAAGAAATACGTAGTTAAATAAAAACACCTATCATCGCCTTATGACTTGGGTATTAGAAAATAATCTAAGTGAAGCATTCCTCTGGAAAAATTATTAAGACCAAAAAAAAAAAATCATTGTCTTAGTGAAATCAAGGCCCTTAAAAAGTATCCCACTTTCATTAGTGTACTGACAGCTTTAGAGGTCAGTGCATGGGGGATGGTGCTCAGAGAGAGATGAACAAGCTTAGAAACAGTAAGGAATGAAAACAGGAAGGAACTTACACTGTATTTTCATTGAAACTATTAAGATGTTCTTGATTATACAACATATACATACAGTGGAGTATAGACTTAAAACTAGTAAATGACCAAGAGTGAAATAATCTACTAGAAAATTTAAAAAGTTCAATCCAGGACCCAGTAGATTGTTAGGATCCTGGACTCTGCAGCTGGAAAATTATGCAAGATGCGTATGCTGCCTGCCCAATATCCCCAGAGAACAATGGAGAAGGGACTTTGGTGTGGCCATAGCACCTGGGCAGTAATTTCTAACTTTCCTTCTCAATGTCTCCAACAAGTACACACACCCTGTTGCAAAAATCAAACAAACAAAATAGCTCAATCTATAAATCTGTATTCTAAATATAATTATATACATATATTTGGTATGTGACATTAGAGGAATAGGGTTACAAGTAGTTTGATTCATATACAAAATATGTTTCTAGACATATTTAGTTATATTTAAATATAATCACAAATTATAATTAACATATGAAAGAAGTTTACATGTTGTCATTTGACAAGGGAAACTAAAAATCAGGTAAGTAAATTGCCTCATGTCCCTTGTCTCTTCAGAGTTTATCTCAGTTCACCTCAATCTTTTTTTTTTTTTTTGAGAGGTTTTTGCTGTAGAGCACGTGCGCTCACCAGACAGAGACAGACAGAGAGAGAGAAAGCAAGAAATCACCCCCCAGGGAGGATGGCCACACCGCAATCCCTTCTCTTCCATTCTCCTCTTGGGATCGTGGGCATGCACATATGTGGGCATGCACGCACATGCGCCCGGCGTGAGTTTTAAGCCACTGGGTCTGGGACTCGAACTGCGGTCGACTACTTGGGAGTCCAGCAACATAGCCATTACGCTAACTGCTGGTCCCAATTCACCTCAATCTTGGTGTTACATTCTTTTTTCCTTCACTATTCGACCTCTCAGTAGAGAAGGTAACTATTTGAATAGAATATGTGGTGCTTGCTTTTGCAACTTGAAAAATAGCCTCATCCGTAGCTGAAATGAGCTGTAATGTGTATATATATAATTGTGATATGTAAGTATATATATATTTGTCCCTCAGAACCTGTGGGACATTGATTCCAGGACCCCTGTGAATACCAAAATGTACTGATGCTTACGTAAAATCTTCTTTTATATAAAATGGTGTAGTATTTGCATATAACCTACACACGTCTTTTTGTATACTTAAAATAATCTCTAAGTTACTCATAATACCTAATACAATGTAAATTGTAATGTAATATAATTGTAAATGCTATGCAAATAGTTATTATACTATGTTGGTTTTTTTAATTTGTATTGTTCTTCATTGTTGTATTTTTTTTTCTTCAGGTTTGGTTGATTCTGTAATTGTGGAACCCCCAGAAGTTCAATTGTGTGTGTGTGTGTGTGTGTGTGTGTTTGTCATAAAGTAGGGTGCTCTTGTGTCATTGTTATCATTTAATAATGCATTCATTGTCACCTTACTATACAACATGCCACAAATGGCGTCACAGATCTTGGGATCAGATACCTTATGTGAAGAATAAATAGGTGTCAGTCCAATTATTCTGCTATTGTCCCTTAATATTTCACTTTTAAAAGTAGAATTGGGAAAGAATTACAGAAAATGATTTGCATTCATCTCCGAAATCCTGGCAGACAGCATTTGCAGACCATTTCTCACAGAACTTGATTTCTGACTGTGCAGTCTTCCCTAAATTCTGATTCCATGGCAGCATCAGGCCTATCGAGAGTCTACTTGAAGTTAAGGTTCTTCTACTGTGCTACTTTTCTACTATCACTTTACTATTTTTTCCAACCTCTTTTAAGCTCATTCCTTTCTTACTTTAAGCTCTTTGCCCCTATACTCACACATAGCACCTGTCCAATCATTTATTTACAATGAAAACTTGGAGCCGAATTTACAGTCTCTCTCTCCATCCTAAATCCTGCCATCATCTTGCACAATCTCAAATCCTTATGCATGATTCCAAAGCCTGTGCGTTTCAGCTCTTGGGCTTCCTTATTTCCAATGACCACTTCATTTTAGCCAATAGTCACTCATATTTAGATAATTCTGAAACAATGCCACATCTAAAATCACAATTTCAGACATAAATGTATGTGTGTGCACGCATGCATGCAGCATGTGCATATGTGTTAAAAGACCTGTACCTTAACAAGTTTTTTCACTGATTAGAACTAAATCCTTATTATTTGAGCTTTGATATTCTTTCTTATTTACATTAGTAAGCCTTGTAGTGAATGGTAACCTGATATGGTATCATTATTTTTCTTTTCTTTCTTTCTTTAAATAATTTTACATTTACAGAAGTTGCAAGCACATAAAAATAACGTTTTCTGTGGAGAGGTTTCTGCTATAGGGCACATGTGCTTGCCAGAAATACAGAGAGAGACAGAGAGACAGACAGCGAGAAATCACTCCCCAGGGGGGATGGCCACGCCGCAATCCCTTCTCCTCCATTCTCCTCTTGGGATCTTGGGCACGCACGCACACGCGCTCGGCATGAGTTTAAGCCACCAGGTCTGGGACTCGAACCGCAGTTGACTATGTGGGAGTCTAGCGACATAGCCATTATGCCATCTGCTGGTCCCTCTGAGTCATTTAAGATTAAATTGCCAAGCTAACGTCCTTTAAACCTGAATACATTATGATTATTCTTAGGTTATCTAATGTGTTGGCATCAGTCATTCATATTATTCTCATATAAGTCTTTTTCATTTTCATAAAGTTAGTAGTGATGTCTTCTCTTCCATTTTGAATTTCAATAATCTGAGTATTTTCTTGTTTTGGGGGAGTCAGTCTAACTAAAGATGTTAATTTTGTTGATTTTTTTTTTCGAAGGACCAACTTTTGGGTCCATCATCTTTCACTATCATATTTCTATTCTATATTTTATTTATTTATTATCTAAACTTTATTCTTTTCCGTCTTACCTTTTTTGGGGTTTGTTCTACTTATTTTAATTTTTTCTTTATTTCCTTGGGATGTAAAGTTAGGTTATTAACTGAAGATCTTCCTTTTTTAATAGAGGTATTCACAGTATAAACTTCCCTCTGATCACTGCTGTAGCAGCCAGTAAGTTTGGTTATATTGTCTTTTTGTTTTCATTATCTTAAAGTATTTTGTAATTTTTTTTGTGAGTTTTCTTTTAACATATTGGGTATTGAGGATGATGTTGCTTAATTTCCACATATTTACAAACTTCTCAAATTACTTCTGTGTTTTATTTTTAATATAATTCCATTGTGATTGGAACATATCTTGTACAATTTCAGTCCTTTGAAACGTTTTGAGTCTCGCTTTACAGTCTATTCTGGAGCTTATCACATGTTTATGGAAAATACTCCATCACACTTAAAATTGTATACTCTCTGCTTTTGTTAGGTAGAGTATTTCTTTTTCTTTCTTTCTTTTTTTTTTTAGGTAGAGTATTTCTTAAGACTGACTTGTTTATGCCACTTTTCAAGTTGTTTATTTCATTTCTATGTTCTCTT